ACAGACAACCTCTCGTCAATATGCGTTTTCTGCATTGCATAGCTGCAAAAAACGCATAAAAATACACTTTTATCTTACAGCTTACTGGGCATACTGTACCCTAACGACCCGACAAAATCTCGTCTAAGAAAAAATGTCCCAGAAATCGGTAACTTTTCAAGAATTCAGTCTTGAATCTTTCTGCGATTCTAAAGAACCACCACAACCGTCCTGTAATCAGTACTCTTATTATTTCAATAGTTTCAGATACTGTGCTGCTTGCTTTACTTTTATCAGTTGCCGAAGTGGTGTATTAACAAGTGACGTTGCTATCATTTTCATGGTCGAGGGTTCTGCCTCAGGGTGCCCCACTCTCTTCACGATTCATTCATTCATTTCAATTGTAAGCAATAGTACTGGCATCAGAACCGTAATTAGCTTACTTTTAAGTTAGCTTCAAAAAAGGGAGCCACGGACAGTCTTGCCAACAGCTCCTGTAATGGAAAATGAGCTACCAAAAAAAGGGATGAAATGAATTCAGCAAAACTAATTATTACATACTGAATTTATTATGTAGATTAGAGTGTGTTTCGAAGTTACAAAATACTGCTTTTTCTCAGGCGCTGAAGAACAGCCTAGTCGAATTGACAGAGAGAGTTCGAATGGGCATGCAATTGTATTTGACCTTGAGCTCGAACAATTAATTAGTGATGTTACTAGGACGCTTTATTTATCAGGCACAACAATGATAGGATGTTTCGTCGTAAGCCACTTCACTAATGTCACATCGTTGCTGTTTTAGATTCCAGCACTAGATTTAGCAGCAAACAAGTAATATTTAATATGTTGAACATTCCAGAATATAACAAAATACCAAATCGACGGTTTTTTGAAGTGCGTCGATGGTTGTCAGCTTGCTTTGCGAATCTGAAGGCGGCATCCGTTCCGCGACGAGACGCTTGATTTGTCGAATGTAGTGCTGCAAAGTCATGAAGTAGTAATGCATCAAGACTGCTTGTTCCCAGAAAACAGGAAATACAGAGCCAGTATAAGCTTGCTAGCTACTGCAGCTCTCTATCCTAATATTCACGTTTGTTCACTACAGTAGACATTAATCTCTTTAATATCAGAATCTAGTGTTTGGATGCCTATTCACACCACACTTCTTTAAAACTAGTTTTGCACAAGAAAAAGCTAATGGAAAAGCTAGCGCTTCATTACAAGATGCAAACTTGCACAATGCAAGCTCATTTGAAATTCACAACTGTAATTTTCCCTGCAATTAAGATATGAGCTTAGCAGGAAACACATGGAAATCCTGCTTGTAGGCAAGCTGGAATGAAGAAGGACTTATGCGTTGCATAAAATATATGGATGCAACAGTACAAGAAGTAGCAGTTCTTTGACTCGCAGCCTATCCTTTGGAAAAGTGAACTTTTTTGAATTTTTTGGCAGACAAATAATTAACTGATACAGCGGAATTCTTAGCAAAATGCAACACGTAAAACACAATAGAAAGAAATCAATATTTTTTGTTTTCTTTTGCTTAGCTTAACATTTTACTACTGATTGACAAGAAAAAAAAATTGTGTTTGAATGGAGGCAAGTAGTTACATGCAAAAAAATAAAGTGCCTTTGATAAGGCAGAAAAGTGGAATCAAATTTGACAAGAAGCCCGTATTTCAAATTTAGGCGACTTATTCTGCACTATGTATTGAATTGAATCTCAAAATTTCTACTTTGTGGCAGTTCTCACACTTGAATGGGTTACTAATTCTCGGTTTAGTTGATGGCAGAAATCTGTTCCGCATTCATTCAGAACAAGCTTGCATTTCTATTATTGTACAGTATTTTTCTTCTGCCTGTGTAGAAATGCTTGAGGGTGATTGTGTACCTGCAGCCGTTTCCGACGAATTGATTTGGGAGACTGCAGAACTGCTTGGGTCACTGAGGCTTCAGCAAGCTGCTGTTGCTGCTGCTGTTTTTGCATATTGTGCAACCTCGTGTCACTATCACAGATTTGAAGAAAGCATTGAATTGCCGCTATTACAGTCAAATATTAGCACTTTACTGAGCAGAACAAATGCAGTACGAGCGGAAATATGCACCAGTTTCGAAGGTACCGTGCAACAGAAAGCGCAACCACCAGCAGTTGACACTCCTAAAAAACACCAGTGATTTTTACTTGCTACTGCTGTGATCACATCCCAAAGCTATGACGCTTGTTACCGAAACATCGACGAGCTACTCTAGGCCTGTGCTGAACTGAGGCTGATCTTCAGAGTCCACCTGACTTTGTACTTCGGCGTTTGGATGCCTGCTATAATCCAATCTGAGTACGACAGTTTCATTTTTTTGTGTGTTAAAAATAAACCTCTCAAAAATATGCGTTTTTGCATTCGAATTAGTCTGCAAAAATACACAAAAACTGAATTCAGCTGAATAGCCTGAAAGCGTTTAGTTTCAAAGTGCCATCGGGAATACGTGCCCTCCGGCACTTTGCGGACATCCCCCCATTTCCTCTTTTCCACACTTGCATTCTTGCCGAAGGAATAGCCAGCTTTTCATCGAATTCGTGGCTTGAAAACCGTACCCCTCTCCATATCGGAGTCGAAAGCTGTCAGTGGTTTTTCGACTTCCATTTGCCTTGAGCAAGAAAAGTTTCCATTATTGCAAAATCCGGTCCTCAGCAGCGGTACCGCTCAGCTTTGTAAGGGAGACCATTATTGCATGTTCTTTCAATCACACTAAATCTCATCAGTCAGATTGCTGCTGCTACTACTGATCAAGCAGTCCGATTTTCACCAACAAATTCACACATCCGGATTCTGGAGTATGGATACTTTACGGAGTAAGAGAAACATTACGCTCTAGAAGCATATTCCTGTACGGGCTTTGCTGTAACAAAGCGCCATTCGGAGCTGAATCGTTTTTTCTGACTTATTACAAAATTGTTAGAGCTTCACCAAGATTTACAGCAAATGCAAATCAGTGTACCGAAAACGTTTTTCATTCGCTAACTGCTTAGCAGGAATAGCGAGCCAGCATGAACAATCGGTGCGGGTATCACACATCAATGATTTTACAGGAATCTTCCCCACCTATCGAGTGCAGATATGCTAAGCTTTTCGAACTATCTCAAATTTCCTGTGCTTTTCTGAGAAAAGAAGTTCATAATGGACAATGGAAGTTAAGAATGTATTAGCTATGAACGAAGAGATTCTCTCGGAAAATTTGTGGTTTTAGACTCGTTTGAGTACCGCTGCAACTTTGCGAGTACATCTCCTGTTTCATCATTTTTATGCGTTTTTGCCTATATGCAAATTGCAAAAACGCATATTGGGACGACCCTGTCT